CTCTTCGGGACAGCTTGGGTCCAAAAAGGGACCGTCCAGATGCTTCGGAATAGAAGGAGATTCAGGGAGAGCCTGAAAGTCCGTCTTCTCACTGCTAAGCCCCGCCTTCTTTCTTATCATTCTCTTTTCGTTTGGCTTTCAGTCACCATTTATTTTTCGTCCCATCAGAAGAGACTTGCCACCGTTTGAATAGTAAGAGCCAGTTTGGCCTAATCGTTAAAGCACCAGGTAAGAAAGCAGGAGACCATGAGTTCAAGTCCGGCCTTAGTCATGAAAGCCAACTTTGGGCCAGTTACTTTGTGTCAGCCCAACCCATGTCCCAGGGTTGTGGTTGTGGGGAAAATAGAAGACAAAGGAGGATATTTGCTACCTTGAATTATTCATTTAAAAAATAAATAAAGGTGGGATAAAAATGAATAAAATGTTCATGTGATATTTTTTCTAACTTAAAGACCACTAAATTAGTTAGAGTAGGAATTTGTTATCTACTTTAAACTTCAAAGTAAGTTAAATTTGTGTAACGTATTTTATTCAGGCCAAGCTGCTCTAAAACAGGCAATGCAAGGTTTAAAAAGGGAGCAGGGTAATCACATCTAAATCAAGCCCACCCCCCAAACCCTCCACCAAAATTACATTTTAACTTGGATAACTTGCATATTGTGGATGATGCAAAAATGACTGCTGTACCTTAAAACAGAAATGCCACTGAATCTTAGTGAGAAAGACAATGATTCACTGAATATTTTCCTTGCTCGTTTTTGCATACCGTGATTGGTGATCAGCAACTCTTGCTGTTCTCCTTTCGTGTGGTTCTTATCAATGGATCAATCATGAACTACCCAGAATTTGAATTACAGGACCTCTTCAAGCAGAAGACTGCCCTGTGGAAGGTAGGGTACATTAAGTAGTATATTGATGTGCTTACCCTTCTCTGCTGAAGGGAAGCGTCCCACCAGCATTCTTGTTTTTAACTTCCAAGAAAGCCCAGCAAGAAAGAAGAAATGTATTATGCTACCAGGTGAGATTTAGTATGCGCAACTCTGGTCCATTGACAGAATTTTACGACAAAATGAGGGGTTTTTTTGTAATCCTCCCCTGCTTTTTGTAATTTCCCCTGCTGTTGTCTTTTATTCTATACTAGCTGAATACTGGTGCCCACTACGAAACTATGTGACCGGGCTTGGTAAATCGATACTTACAGCTTAAAAATTAATGAGTAGTTACGATCGGCCTCCCCTCTCCCCTTCTCTCCCTCAGGCTTGCCCCACAGAAGCTTATCCTATCTTATCTCCTTCTCTCCCTCAGGGTGGGCCCATTGATCCTCTCCAAACTCCCAGCCCACAGGCCGGATGAATCACACGCTGGCCACGCTCAGGTAGCAGTTAGAACAGAGATCTTTTCAGGTGGGGAGTAGAACGTCTAACTCCTTAGCATCAGAGCGTATTAATAATAATAATAATAATAATAATAATAATAATAATAATAATAAAAGAAAAACTAATGATCTGATGGTCATTTCAAAAAATCCTTTCTTAGCGAGCACCTAGAAGCCAAGAGGAACATATGTGCCAAATTTCAAGTTTGTAGGCTTTGCGGTTCTGGAGATTTCGTGATGTCATGTGAATGGCATTTTGCTTTTATATATATATAGATTCACAACTATTTTAAAGGATAAAGTAGAATAGCTTTAAAACAAACACCTCTGGGGAGCGGAGACTGGATGCCATGACGAGACGACGTGCGATCTCAAAGCTCTGAGATCGCACTCGATACTTTTATTG